AAAAAAAAAAAAAAAAGAAAAAGGATGTGCTTTTAAGAGCATTGTGAGGTCGGGTGTGGTGGTTTGTACCTGTAATCCCAGCACTACAGGAGGTCAAGGATTAATTTAAGCCCAGGAGTATGAGACCAGACTGGGTGACAGAGTGAGACCCTGTCTCAAAATAAATAAATAATAAAAGTTTAATAGTAACTTTCAAATAAATGCCTTGAACCTAGTTTTCAAGGAGGATCAGAATAGCACAGAAGGAAGCTCCTATTTACAAAAGCACAGCAAAACTGTCAGGACTGTCTCAAAATGAAAGCTGTTCCACAGCATAGGGTGCTGTCTCCTAAACCTTGGTTTTCTCCAGCAAAAGATTTCCTTCCAAAGCTTGAATGGTCACTTGTCTGCAAAAGGAGACGGAATCTCTGTTTGGGAGGAGAAATTTGAGCCCCTTGGGTACAACCCCATGAAGCCTTTGGGGTTGGGTGGGAAATTAGACTAGAACAATCGTTCTTAAAATGGTCCCTGGGTCACCAATATGGGAATCATCCTAGAAAGGTGTGAAATGCAGATCCTCCAGTCCTGTCCCTGATACTGAATCCTCATTTCTGGAGTGGGAGCTGAGATTTTTGCATTTTTAAAAAGCCACAAGGTGGAATTCTTGTGCACTAAGAGGTTTAGACACAACTGGACAAGCTGGGAACCAACAGGATGAGTGGGTGGTTTTGGAGCCATATAGACTTGGATTTAAATCCCAGTTCTTCCATTTAATATTAATAGTTCTGACTGTGGCAAGTCACCCAAACGCTCTGAGCTCGTTTTCCCATACAGTAAATGAAATGACACTTTGTTGTGGAGATCAAATAAAACTGTGTGGGCATATGTATGTGTGTATACATGTATGTACCTGTATGTGTGTGTGTTAACAGTGCCTGGCAAGGAACTTTTATAAGATGACCTCTCGGAGTTTTCCAGCTCTCAGTCTATGAATGCTAGTATATTTTAATCCTTCCACATACACAACTATCGCAGGATCATCTGCTTATCCACCTCCCTAAAGCAGTGTTTCTCAACCTTTTCTTGATTTCCCCCCTCTCCTCCCAGGAGACGTTTTAGACATTTTATTTCCGAATCTGCCAACCCCATACAATTTCAATGCCATAGGTATAACGTATATCTGCTTGTTTTGAGGCTCTTTGGAAGGCCACAAAGAACGGTAATATCTACGATCTTTTTGCCCCCCTAAGAACATAAGCAATATCAGCCATATTGAGAATGCATGTCCGAGAGAGAAGTGACTTGGTCAAGGTCACGTGACTAATTTAGTGGCAGACTTAGATTTAAATTAGAGGGCACAAACTGGCAGACTAGAACCAGCTTATAAATGTCTTTTGTTTGGCTTCCAGTGTTTCTCTCTTTCTTTTTTTAATTGATTGCCAACATTTACAAATTAAGAGATTTCACATAAAAATCCCGACATTCAACTTTCTCATGAAAAATCTGAGATCGCTCTGAGCGGCAGTTGAGAGGCGCTCGCCATCCCAGAACGTGGGGGTTCTCCCAGCATCTCCCAGCCTGGTCCCTGCAGACATCTGAATGTGAGATCCTCAAATCCAAGACCTTTACACTTTAGTTTCAAGCTCACGACCCTCAATGATTTGCCTCCAACCACGCATCACTTAATAACTAGACGTTTAAAAAAACAAATCTGAAACAGCCATACTGAGTGTGCGGCTAAACTAGCTGCAAATTCCGAACCTTTTCCCGCTCGGGATTCCAAGCCCTCGGCGCCGGCTGGGGTCAGCAGGACGCGCCGTCCGTGTCGCACGTCGTCTGCGGCCGGCCGACCAGGGCGCGGCCGGCCCGGAGACGCTGCCCCGCGGAGGGTCTGTGGGTAGCGGGCTCTAGGGCAGCCTCTGCGCACCCTCACGGCGCGGCACCGATCCCCGCTGCTCCCGACGCGCCCAGGAGGCAGAGGGGTCCCGGCCCCGCCCGCCGGACAGCGTCCTCCGGCTAGCGCCTAGGCTACTCCCCGCGACGGGGCGCCCCTGCTGAGGCCGCGTCCCCTGCGCTGCCGTCAGCGCGCCCGCTCGCCAGCCAATGTCAGCCGCCACACGCCGCACGTGACGTGTGCCGGCCAATGGCGGCCTGAAGCGGACCGTGACGAGAGCGGCGGCTCTGGGCTTTTTCGAACAGGCGCGGGCGGTGAGGGAACCGTGAGGGAGGCTGAGGGGATGCTGCGGGTGCGGAAAGGGGACCCTGGGTAAGCGAACGGCGCGAGGACGGCTAGGGGACGGCGCGGGCCAAGAAAGACGGCGGCGGAGCTGGCTCCTCGCGCTCCCCGGCCGCTGGGTCGAGACGAGTGAAGGAGGAAGAGCCAGGAGAGCCCTGGAGCAGCGCGGACTGAACCAGACGTCTGGCCGCCTCTCTCCCGGCCTGCTTCCTGTGTTGTTCCCCCTGCTTCTCCTGGTTCTGGCGGCCCAACTCTTACGGCATCGCGGCCCCAGGTGATTCAGAGAAATCCGAGGAGCAGAATCTGGGTGAGGGCAAGGCCCAGCAGTTTACAGAGTGGCTGACGGGGTTTGCCTGCGTGTAACAGAAACCCCCGGATTCCAGTATCCTAAACCCACGAGGGGGTTTTCCCCTCTGTCATAGAAGAAAGTGGGAGGAAGGCACCCAAACTCGTTCGGCTCTGTCGTCCGCACAGCCTCGCTTCCGTCCACAAATTTGCCTTATGGGCCAAAATAGTAGTTGGAGCTCCAGCCATCACATCCTTATTTTAGAAAGAGCCTTTCTGGAAGCCCCACACAAAACCTTCTAACTACATCTTACAGACTCGAATGTAGCATCATGACCTCGCAGAGCTGGGAACTATAATCTTAACTTGGCACATTGATGGCCTTAAAAATCTTCTTTCCAAAATGAAGGGAGGAATGAATTTAATTAAGCAACTGCAATCTCTGCTGCATCTTGTTTTTTCACCCTCGCAAGTGTTCCTGTGTCTCACGGCTCAGTAGAAATAAGTCCTTCCCCTGCATGTGCAGAACAACTCACTAGGCAAATACATACTCTGTGGCAGACCCTATACTGGATACTTTATGTCTATTTTCACATTTAATTCTTCTAGGTAGGCATTACTAGCCGCATGTTGCAAATGACACTAGAAGATAGAAATGGTGACAAACTGTGAATGCAGAGAGGCTGTTAGATTGACCAGATGGTCTGATACCAGTTGGCTGCAGAGTGCAAGCACATGGACCTGAGAATGTTATTTTCTGTACCAAGTCCACAAAGGCCACTCTGCCTAAAGCTGACAGGAATCAACAAAGAAGATGGAGATACGATACTGCCCTGTGGCTCAGGAAGCAGGCCCCACATAATACACCAATGCAAAAATAGTGTGACATCTAAACACTAGTATGGTAATGATGTAAAAAATTTGTTTTAGTAAGCAACAGATGAAAAGAGATTTGAAAACGTTGACTTGGTATTTCTCAGCACTGGCCTACAGAGAACTGTGCACATACTTGGACTTAATAGTAAGTAATGGAGGCCAGACACAGTGGCTCACACCTGTAATTCCAGCACTTTGGGAGGCCGAGGCGGCGGATCACCTGAAGTCAGGAATTTGAGGCCAGCCTGGCCAACATGGAGAAACCTTGTCTCTACTAAAAATACAAAAATTAGCCAGGCGTGGTAGTGCACACCTGTAATCCCAGCTACTAGGGAGGTTGAGGCAGGAGAATTGCTTGAACCCAGGGGGCAGAGGTTGCAGGGAAGATCGCACCACTGCACTCCAGCCTAGGCCACAGAGTGAGACTCCATCTCAAAAAAAAAAAAAAAAAAAAAAAAGATTGGTTTCATGCATTTAAAAAACAACGTCTTGTATATACTTGTGCTGAACTAAGCATTAACAATTCTAAGGTGAATTAGACGTTGCCCTGCCCACAGTCTATGGGGACACAGACAAGTATACAAACAATTGGAACACATCATGATAACGGTATTTGGGCGGTATGGGAGCACATGAGAAGAGTATCCAACCTGGCTGGAGAGAGGGAAAAAGAGGGATTTTCGTTAGAGAAGACTTTCTAAAGAAATGATGATTGACCTGAGTCTTGAAAATCAAGCTTGAGCGGATCAAGCCAAGTAAGTGAAATGGCAGTGCAAGCAGCGGGATCAGGTAGTGTAAAAGTATGTTGATGTGAGAGAAGCCAGCGTATGTGACACTGGCTATGAAGAAAGAGGGGATAGAAGAACCTATTGAGGAGTTAGTGTCCTGTCATGATGGATCATGTGTACCATGCCAGGGAGTTTGCATCCTTTGGCCATAGCATCCACTCCTTCCCTTGCTTTGGGGAAATTATTTCTCCACCTTGTGTGTAGTCTTGGTGGCATTATTAAGATGCCCTGTGTTCCCCCAACTAGCGGATAGATGGATAACCCTAGTTAGGCCAACCAGATTGTCTGCCAATTGTGAGAAGGAAAGTAGTGGGATAGGAAGTTGAGAGTGTTTAAACACGCCCCCCTAGGGAGGGGATGAGATTTCCTTTGGATCATGAAAAGATTATTAAATTGGATAGAGAGCACAATCATGGACAGAGGTCATGTGTGTGATGTTTGCTTCAGCAAACTCTATAGCACAGAGTCTCTAGCTGAGTTTCACATCTTACAAGTGGATATAAATACTATACTCCAGCCATTCGAAAGGTATATTCTATAGTTATTAGGATTATATTTTATAAACAAAAATTAAATAACTTTAGTATTTTAAGTAAGCACTGTATGGGAAATCTGGACTATGTAGATATCATTTCTCTACTGTAACTTGGATGGTTATTCCACAAATTTGAGTAATATGTGGGTTTTACTTTCATTCTATGTTTACCTAACAACCTTCTTGGAGTTCCAACTCAATAACAACAGGATTCCCCAGTGGAAAAAAAGATCACTATATTATTTATACATAAATTATTTAGTTATACATAAATTCTTTAGTTTTCTAAACTTCTAAGGGCTTAAAACTGTAGAATAATTGTGACACAAAATTTACGCCATCACAGATAAACTCTCTTCCTAAAGTTTTGAATATAGTTTTTTCTTTAAAAATGAGAATACATCTATCTTGATAATATACATGTTCATTGAAAAGTTTCAAGAAAGGCAGAAAAGTATGAGGAATACACGTGGTGGTTTACATTGTCCAAGACATTTTTCTATGAACATTTATTCAAATATAAGTATACTTTAAAGTAAGATCATATCATACATACTGTTTCATAACTATTTTTTACATAACATGTTAGCTTTGCTGAGCAAAGTACCACAGACTTAACGGCTTAAAACACCACACATTTATTATCTGTTTCTGTGCATCATTAGTCCTGTCACAGTTTCTGTCAACAGATTGCAATCCAGGTATTGGCCAGGACTACAATCTTATCAGAGGCTCAACTGGGAAAAGATCCACTTCCATGTGCCCTCAGGTTACTGACAGAATTCATCTCCTTGCAGCTATAGACAGGTCACCATTTTCTTGCTGACCATCAGCAGTGGGTTGCTGTCGGCTTCTAAAGGCCACCCTCAGTTCTTTGGGGTGTGGTCCTCTACATAGACCTCAGAAATGGCAGCTTGCTTTTTCAAAGCCAACAAGGGAGAGAGAATCATTATAATTTTTAATGGTAACATAGTATTCTACTATAGGACTGTAACATAATTTATTTAACTGTCCTCTATGGATACTAGGATGTTTTGAATTTTTCATTATAAACAGTGTTACAGCAAATGTTCTCATGCACATACCTTTGTGACTTCTCTGATTATTTCCTTAGGATAATACCCAGAGTGAATTGCTGAGTCAGATGGTATACTTTTTAAATCTTTTTTTGTTTGCATATTGTAACATAGCTATCCGGAAAACTAAGCCCATTTGTATTTCTAAGAATGTATGAGAATGCTGGTTTGTATGCATAACTTGCCGACACTGGCATTACTCATAAGTTTATTAGTTGCCAATCTAATGAGTGAAAAAAATATTTCTTATTGTTTTAATTTGTATTTGTTAAATTAGTGAACTCAAACATATTTTTTATGTTTACTGGACATTGTGTTTTTTGAATTGTCTTTTCATGACTTTTGCCCATTTTGCAATTGTGAAAGCACTTCGTATGTTAAGTGCTCTTTGTTTGTGGATTGCAAATATGTTTCCTGATTTATTTATGTTTGTTAATATTTTAGTTATTTTGTTTCTAGGAGATAATTTTGTTTATGGGGAATTTTTGGCCATAGAAAAGTTTTTAATGTTTTTTGAAATCAGTTCCATTGATTTTCCTAATGCTTTCTGCCTTTGATGGCATGCTTAGAAATGTTTTTCCCACCTAAGGGCATAAAACCTTTCACTTATTTTTGTTCTAGAATGTTTATGGTTTCTTTTAACATTTACATTTTAATAGTTTTAGAATTATTGTGTCGCAAAATAGATTGATTGCTATTGTCCTGTGATGAGTTTTTTAAAAAATTGAGTTATTCAATTGAGGGGGGTAACTCTAGAGTTATTTTTGAAATCTGCAACTTGTTACTGTAGATTTGTGGGAAATAGAGAACAAACCAACACTGTGAAATGTTTTCTTCATCATGTTCTCTAAGCACTTTTTGTTCCAGTAATGTCTACTTTTTCGTGAAATTATATAGAAGTGTATCACTTGTGCTGTAATAACATTATATGAGAGGACTTATTAGTGACAAATTGACAACAGGGAATAAATAAGCATAATTGACCAGGAGGACATGGGACAAAGACCAAACCACAAATGCCCTTAATTAAGAGGGCAGCATGATCCTGCCACACCACAATTACTTTCAAAAACAATAATATTGAGGCCAAGGGCACCAAGGCATTGGTTGAGAAACTAGTCATTCATCACTGCAAATGGGCAACTGAAGATAGAGAGGAGTGGCAAGCTGAGAAAGAAGGAGCTCAGGCCTGGCTGAAGTGTGAAGCAAGTCTCTGAGGTACATTCTTCTGCTCCAGTGAAATTCAGAGTAGAGATTCTGGTAACCAGAAAGCCATAGGAACTTTCATGAGCTTGATTTCTCTTAAGGAATGAATGTGTGAAATGAAAAATCAAGCATTAAATTCATTAAATTCCAGTGCTGTGACTTACTTGCCTGGGATTCCCAGCACTTAGTGCAGTGCCTAGCTCAGTATGGGTTCTCAATAAATATTATTTTCTTTCCCCTTTCTCTTATGCCATTCTCTTATTTGTCTCAATATTTATCACCCAGTGCAGGTACT